ATGCATGTTCTGAGGGACTCGATCTCCTGGTGCTGTGAACTGTAGCAAGAGGACACCACAGGCAGCAGCCCGAAATGCTCATCAGGTAGAGTGGAGGCACTATGCCATGTGTGCACTTGCCATTGCTCTCCTGGGCACCTTGGCTCCTTTTGAGAGCCCTTGTTTGCAGCACACCACCAAAAGAGCAGCCCCTGGTTTTGCAGGCAAGAGGGAGAGAGCAAGAATGGAAATCTCCAGAGAAATCACGTTTTGCAGGTGTAACTATGGCATCCACCTGCTGGCTCTCCCCCTAGCCAGCCTGCAGCCACCCAGCTGGTTTGAGGAGTGTCATTTTAACCATAAAACCCAAGAACCTGAGATAATATTAATATCTCCACTGAATCTCATGTGGATCTTGCTCCCTCCTGTCTGATCTCTAGGCTAGCAGGAGATGGAAGTGGGACAGAGACATGGTGACAGCCTAGACAGGCTCTGCCTCCCCTTGCCTAGCTTAAGAGCATCTGCTCTCACATCCTCCTCACCAGCTCTCCCCTCCATCTTACAACAGTTCCCCCAAGCTGTTCTCTGTCCCACAGAGCTGTGCAGGTCCCACATTAGTGCTAGCAATGGAGAGCTTCTTCACTTCTCCTGCTTCTGTTTCAGCAGGGAAAGGAGGTGGCAGCCACTGTAACACACTGCTATGGCATGTCTTGCCCAGGTACCCCTGCCAATGAAACCTGGGGCATCCTTGAGAGGGAGGATTTCAGCTCTGCACATGAGGTGAGCTCTAAGGGATCTCCACTACAAGGTCCCTGAGAGGGGCCATGGCTGTCTCCTGAAAGATACGTGAGAACTGGTGCAATCCCAGCTGTCCCAGGAGGTAGGAGCTGAACAAACTCAGCTGGTCCCCCCCAAACTCTCAAACCCCCAACTAAAATGCCAGCTTGCCAGCCAGTTTCAAAAATATAGGATGTCCCAGGTACTTCCTGGAATAAGCAACACACCTGAATTTCTTCAGAAACCCCCCCAACAGGGAATTGGGGCTTTTCACTTCAGTTGATTTTCACACATCTACCACCAGCACGGCGGGATGAGGGCACGTACCAGCACCCATGGATGGTGTGGGAGTTTCTGACACACTTTAAGGGCTCAGAGCCCTACCAATGGATGACATTCACCCTCGTACCATGTATGAATTACTCACCTCTGGCTAATGGGATATACATAGACTTTCACCTTTAAGCCCTTCCCAATATCATTACTTTCATGGCAATCTCCAATCACTTCAAGAAGCCAAATACGAGTCAGTGCACATAAAGAAATCAACTTGCAATTTTAAAATAGACTGAAGAATATATACTTTCTGTGAAGGTTTTCATTAAAGATCAGCTGATCACATGCTCTCAACTGAATTTTTGGCTTAAGGTAGCCCTGCCAATCACTTTCTGGCCAGGCTGGATCCTGTTCCAGGTTATTCCTGTCCTGTGGAAATAAAACTATGAGAAATGAATGCTAATACTGAGTGGCTTATTTTCCGACAGATGTAATACCTCCAAAGCTACTCTCTGGATTTTGGCATGAGTTTTAAAATAGGATTCTTGACCTGTTCTCAACAACTTAGGAAAACATATCTAATTTTGTGGCAGAAAGTACAGAGGAGGAAAGCTTTTTCTAAGAAGCGCTTTCCTTTCTATCGTTCTTCCCCTCTCTCGGGGATCAGAGCTGTTTGTACTCTGTGGAAATAAAACTATGAGAAATGAATGCTGACACTGCGTGGTTTATTTTCAGACAGATGTAATACCTCCAAAGCTACTCTCTGGATTTTGGCATGAGTTTTAAAATAGGATTCTTGACCTGTTCTCAGCAACTTGGGAAAATATATCTAGTTTTGTGGCAGAAAGTATGGAGGAGGAAAGCTTTTTCTAAGAAGCACTTTCCTTTCTATAGTTCTTCCCCTCGCTCAGGGATCAGAGTTGCTTGTATTCCTTTCCCTTGAGCTGCTATTTCATTCTTTAAAAGAGATCTAGATGCACTCAGGAAACCCCAAATGTCACAGGTGGCAGCAGCACAGCATCTCTGTTGGGAAGTGGGGCTGCCCTCTTCCAGCTTGGCCAATGGCTGGAAAGAGCTCCTGCCTCAAGCCCAGTGAATAATCTCTTTCGACGTGTCCTTAGCAAGAAAAATGAGAGGTGAGGTCTCCTTTTAATATCTGGGACTGGAAACTGTCCTGAGTGACAACATTCAGCAGTCAGTCCACGACAGGAGCTTTGCCAGGGGTCTGCTTTGTGCCCACATCCCACCAGTTGCAATACCAACACATCCCAGGGACTGTATCCATTTTGGCACGTATGTGTTGAATCCCTGTGTTCAATCCTTTGGATTATCCTTTTGTTTAATTACACACCTCATACTAAATACTTTGAATGTGATGTGAGGTGAAGCTGGTTTACACAGGTTTTATTTTCCCCCTTCACCAGTTCTGCCGAGTGTCACCTCTGGCTCAGGTGGGCTTTGGAAATAAATACAAAGACTGAATCTAATCAATGCATGGGATGGGATTGCCTTTAACATATTTGCCAGCCTTAAAGTCTTTTCAAAAGTCCATAAAATGTAACACTTTCTTGTATTATTATTTTTTTTCAATAACCACACTAATTGGTTGTCTCAGTTGTGCAGATTGCGTTGGGGCAGGAGGTGTTGTGATTATTCCCTTTGTTTATGGTATTAGACTTCGACTATTGTTGATCTTATTGTTCTTATTTGTAACATGTTTGCCTCACTAGGACAGTAATTGTGTCAAGCAAGTTGGAGTCCAATCTGCAGAGCTGAATGTTCAGGACTGCAAAAGAAAGGCTCCAATTTTTCAAGCAGCGGGCGTATTACTCCTCCACTTGGATTATTAAATTCTAATTATAGCCTGTTGATCCAGTTACAATGTTGTTTGTAAATCTAAATACAGTTCTCTAAAGCCTGCACTGATATGCATTTTATTTCTTAACCTGTTGATGCTTGGTAAAAAAATCCCGGTTTGCCTAACGGAGCAGGTGGAGGTTGGCTTGCTCCTGATCTTTTCCTCAACTGTGTTCCTTTGGATGTGTTTAGGAATGAGCACTTAACAGCACGGATAACACCAAGAACAACCATGACTGATGCATTTCACGTAATGCCTTGGTACCAACGGACTCACCAGAGCTGGGGTCAGGAAGCAATTTTCCCTTAGGTAAGACTGGTGGGGATTGAAAGGGGTTTTTTGGGAGGAGGGGAAAGGCAGTTGGGTCTGGTTTCTCTGCTCTTCGGGCAGTTACCCAAGCTCTTCTGGGAATGGCACCTCAACAATTCCCTCTTACACTGGCAATTCCTTTAGTCTCTTCTCTTCTGTTCCTGAAACATTTTCTGCGTTTTGGCCTCTTTACAAGAAAGTTCTGGTTGGTCACCCCATGTGAGAAGGCGTTTTGTAGGGTGCATTGTGTGCGCAGTAGGGTTGGTTGAATCCACATACAGTGACTTCATATAAACTAAGTATCAATGAGGCAGTCATCTGTGATGGCCATGATGAAACTCCATGCCCTCCCAAGCCCTTTTCTTTCCTCTGTGTCCATGAATGTTAAATGCAAGGAAAGCAGAGATGCCCGAGCCAAGCGATGCGAGCAGCACCAGCAGCTCCCAGGAACTGCCACGTTTTGGATGGCTGGAAGTCTCTGTAGCTCTGTGCTGTCACTGTACCTGCAGCATCCTCCCTCACCTGTAAGAGGACAGGAGGTGTTCACAATAAAAAATTACCCTGGTGGATGATTGCCTGAGTCCGTAAACCATGCTCCCATCACAAGCTTATTTTTGCTTCCAAGCCTTCTTTTAAGCTCCAGCACACTCGTGTGCTCAGGCTGCTCACAAGTACCTGGCACGGGCTTTTCTACGCCACCAGCCAGGTTTCTCACCCACTTGGTGAGGTGGCCCACGGGGGCTGAACTTGGCGTGGAATTCACCGGGTACACCTTCAGGATTGCCACTAAATTAGGAAAAATTTAGGAATTAGATTAGAAAATGAGGAAAAATTGCCACTTTATTAGGAAAAATTTTTTCACTGAAAGGGTTATCAGGCATTGGAATGGGCTGCCCAGGGAGGTGGTTGAGGCCCCATCCCTGGAGGTGTTCAAAAGACGGGTTGATGTAGTGCTGGGAGGTCTGGTTTAGTGATGATGCTCCTTGTTTGCTGTGTGGGTGTCTATTTTTGTCAGTTAGGTTGACGGTTGGACAAGATGATCTTTAAGGTCCCTTCCAACCTAGAAGATTCTGTGATTCTGTAAATCCCAGAGGGCTTCTCCCAGAGCCAGGCACAGCTCCAGGAGGTGAAGTATCACAATATGTCACAGTACTGGGAAGGTTTGGGAAGGGCTGTGGATGTTTTGACAGGTTGGGGGAGGTGGGAAGCAGCCCAATTCCTCCTTTCGTCCCTGTCACTCAGAATCCATCAGGGAAGGAAAGGAGGAGGTGGGAAGCAGCCCAATTCCTCCTTTCCTCCCTGTCACTCAGAATCCACTCAGAATCAGGGAAGGAAAGGGGTGAGCTGCCCCTCCTGGTAGGGAATAAAGTTAATGTCTCCAAGAAATTTTCCATTGAGGTCCCTGCCTGGGAGAACTCTGACAGGGACTTGGGATACAGATGTCCAAGGAATGGGCAGCCACAGCAGGTACCACCCACAGCCATGGATCCTGTCCCATGGGCCCAACATTGAAAGTCACTGGGATCCAGGGGGGTGAAGCCTCCTTCCTCCCCTCCAAATAGCATACAAGCTCACAGGCTTAGCCTGGGCAGATCTGGAGTGAGGAATATAAGGACTGGAAGACACCAGGATGTCCCAGCAACTGGGATGGGGATGGGGCAGGTGTGTGGGGCAGAGGGGGGGCAGTTATTTGGAGGGCTGAACTCTCCCACACACACATATCCACACTGAGACGTGCAAGGAAGGGTGGTGCTCCCTCCTGGGAGGAAAACTGCTGTTTCCCTGCAAATCCCAGCGGGTGGATTGGGGGAGCACAGCCGCTGAGCTGTGGGAAAGGCCTGCCCGTGGCTGTGCTTGCGTCTCTGTGCCCTCCTGAGTGGAGACGAGAGGGCTCCATCTCCTCCAAGATGTCACCGAATCTCTCCAGTGCCCCCACAGAGGTATGAGGGAAACTTTCCACTTCTCAGATGGCTGTGACTTTTAACAGGAGCAAAACTGTCGAGCCTAAGATCTACACCGGGAAACACCGAGACTGGCAGGAGGAGGTTGAGGGGGGGATGCTTCTGCTACAAGGAGTGAGGGAGCAAATCCACCCCTCTGGTCGGGGCAGAGCAGGGTGATACCCTAATTGCTGGGGTGAGATCTGGCTGGGGCAAAAAGGCTTCTCTTTACCCAAGGGACTGACTGCTGCATCCCTGGGATCAGCAATCTTCATCCCTCCTGGAAGAACCTGCTTCCCCCCACCCCTGTGTGCATTTAATGGGAAGAAAGAGGTTTTTTCCTGCATTTAGGCATTCTCAGCAACTAGAGACCTGAGGGGTGAGGGAAGGACCCTCGCTGTGCCCCAGGGAGAGGCACTTGTGCAGCTGAAATAAAACCCCATCGCCGTGCCCAAGCGAGCAGGTCTCAAAGGATCCTTGAAAAGCAGAGGGGAAGGAAGGATGCAGCCCCGGGGGATGCCGTCCTGCCCGGCTGATGCCGTCCTGTCGCCTGGCCCCTTCCCGGCTCCCCGGGGGGGGGGAGAAGGTGCCGGTGCCCCCCCCAAACCCCCAGCGCTGGCCGAGGGGCCCATCGCCACCCCGGGGAGGGGGCGAGCGACCACCGGCCGGGGGCGAGCAGGGCTCGGAGGGACGTCGGGGGAAGCGGAGAGGGTGAGAGCAGGGAGCAGCAGCCGGGAGGGAGGGGGAGGACCGGGGGGGTGATGGAGAGGTGTTGGAGGGGAAAAAAAGAGCAAGGTGCCGGCTCGGCAGCTCTCTCCCGGGGAGCCTTGGCTGGGGCCGTCGCCTGGTGTAAACACACACCGAGGGGGAGAGCCCTGAGCCCCTCTCCAGCCCCGGCGGCGGGGCGGCTCCGGGACCCGGTTTGGGTCCTCCGGTTTGAGTATCCCAGCCGAGGGGGTGGGAGAAGGGGCGCAAGGGTGGGTTTGCTGCCTCTCGGCGTTGCTGCCGGTTTTACCGAGGGACGTTCCGAGGAGATGTGCCGAGCCGCAGGTGGCCCCGGCGACACCGGCACCGAGGGATGCTCCCCCCATCCCGGCGCAGCCAGGGCATCCTCGGCCCGGCCCCGACGTGAGCCCGGTCGGGCCCGCAAATCCGCGGGCTGCCTGCCCGAAACTGGGGAGAAAAGAAAGAAAATAAATCAAAGCCACCCCCACCCCTCCCTCTTTTTGGCCCTGTGTCCTCCCCGCTGGCCGGGAAGCGGCGGCTCCATCGCTGGAGACGAGGAGAAGAGGGAAAATAGAGCTCCGGGCCGAGTCCTGCGTGGGAGGGGGGTGTTGATGTGGGTGTCTGCTCGCCGGTCCCCTCGTTATAACGACCGCCTGCCCCGTGGAAGGTGTCGCGGAGCCGGGTTTGGGGAGAAGCTGCGCTCCGGAGCCTCCGGGGAGTGGGGTGAAAGCTTCCGTCTGGGTTTCCAAACCACCCGTAAAATAAGAAATTTACTCGGGGCTGAGATCCTGGAAACAAAAGGCCGTTTCCAGGCACCAGCCGGTGCTGGGGACCCACCGGCCCAGGCGGAGGAGAAGCCCCCGGGCTGCCCGCCTGCCCTCCCGCCCGGCAGCGGGGCATCCCCGCCGCGTCCCGCCGCCCTCGGGGCCGGCACGATCGATCTCTCAAATTGGCACAAATAAAATCTCCTCAACATCTGCTGGCGCGGTTTGATTTGCTCTATTTGAGCTTTCCTGCCTTTACCCGAAAGATATTCGGTTATTCCGTTCGGTCATCCCCCGCCGCGCATCCCCGTGCCGCGGTAGTACCCAAATACCGTCGAAGACAGAGAAGAAAACAATGTTAAATGGGGAAAAAAAAATAATATATCAGTGATTTTTGCTTTCCAGAAACAAGCCCTGGCACCGGCTGCGCAAAAAGGCAAGAGCAAATCTCGCAAAATCGTCTCTTAGTGAAGGTAAAATTCGACCGGAGCTGCGGGGGCAGATTTTAAAGCAACTAGTGACCTGTCAAATGTCTCCGTTTATTAAAAAAAAATATTGTTCAGTGCTTCTAAACTATTTAATCTCAAAGCGGGTTTTTAGATGCGAGGCAATACTTCCAAAGAACAGGCTGCCGTCACCTAAACCTATTTCAGTTGCGCTTCCACGTGCGAGGCACATTATTGAGTCAATAAAATGTGTTGTGGAGGTTCGCAAATCTCTCCAAAATTGTGTTTACTCAAGACAAATTAATTAATTTCGGATGTCAGAAAGCACGTTAGAGCAGCATTTCTCCTTTTCTGCATTTGCTTCCTTTCACGCACTATTTTCTCTTTTTCTTTTTTTTTTCTTCCTTCCCTGTGGTATAAAGAAAAAAACAAAACCCAAACGTGCTTTTTACCCTTACTTTGTAACGGGATAAAGGAAAAATTGCGAACTCAGTCTGACGTTTATCTTTTTTTTTTCCTAGTTTCCCCTCAGCTGAACAGAACCCGAGACCACGCTTTTTCCAAGGTGCTGTGATTTACGCTCCTCGCTTTCCTCGGCAGCTTCTGGCCGCGCTGCGGGGCGGGGGGGGGGACATGAGCCCATCCCCGTGTGTGCTGGGGACCCGCAGCCCTAATCCCGCTAGGAGAGCCGAGAGGTGCCCCCCCCCCGCCTTCACGGAGGGTCGGGGACCGGAGCGGGGGGGGAGGACACGCGTGGGGCGGTCTCGCGTGGGAAGGGGAAGCAGAGGACGGGCGGAGCGCCCGGGGGCGGCCGTCGGGAGGGCGGGGAAGCCTGGAGTTTGGGGAGGGGGGAGGACCCGGCGGTGCCCGCTCCGCCCCCGCGCACGGTCGGTGGGACCGATCCCGGAGGGAGCCGTCGGGGCGTGAAGGGGGAGCCCTTTCCCGGCCCACGCTGCGGGGGCGCGGAGCGGGACCGGCTTCCCTGGATTCCGTGCGGGGACACGGCCCGTCCCGCGTGGGAGGGGAGAGGAGGGGGTCCCGCGGGGCATCCGCCTTCCCCGGCCCCATCCCCGCAAAGTGCGCGGGCCGGGGAGGTGGCTGAGCTTTTTGTTTGCTTCCCTCCCTCTTTTTTTTTTCAATAAACCCAATTTTTTTTTTTTTTTTTTTTTTTTTTTTTTTTTTTTTTTTTTTTTTTTCTTCTGTTTGTTTGTTTTCTTGTTGTTTCGCTTTTTTTTTTTTTTTTCCCTAATATAAAATAAAACTAGAAACACTAAGCATCAAACGCCACTTTCCCAACGAACCAGCACTTTCTTAAAAATAACCCCCCCGGATGCAGGGAGAGGAAGAGCTGTTCCTGCCGCGCAGAGGAGGGAGGATCAGAGTGAGTGTGAGGCCACAGAAGAAGGTAAACTGGCAGGGTTTATGTGGCAGATACTTGAAAGTATGGAATTACTATCTTAAAAAAATATATATATATATTATCTAAAAGCACTACCTCTTCTCATCTTCCCAAGACTGTAAATTTTTTTTTCTATCCATGATTTATTTAACATACCGACCCGACACTGGTTTTTTGGATCTCTATGCCCCTTCACTCTGAGCCGTGGTCAGTGTGCTCTACTAATTGTGCCATCCTAGTTATGCTATGGGAGTTACAGCTCCCCTGAATAACCAAACCCAGCCCTGCCAATTCCGTTTTCCCCACTGTAGAGGAGGTGATTTTTTTTTTTTTTTTTTTTTTGTGTGTGTAGCTAATGCTAAAATGCTTGGCAGCTTGCCCGTCAAACCGTGAGCACAGGGAAAAAAAAATGCAAACAAATTCTCTGTTTAATAGTCCCTGGACAGTGCAACTAATCCATTCTAAACTGGTAATGGGTATCGATGTCAACAGGTATGCGGCGAGAGCCAAATACTCTGCACTCAATGGAAGACACTTTTCCTTCTGAATGAGGATTATGTGCAAAATGTAACTTGGCAGAAGGATCCAAATTAAATTCATGCTTCAGTTAATTCAGATTAATTTTCCTGATTGCCCTTGCACACCAGACAACCAAATCCCTGTTTATATCTGCTCCTTTTCTTTTAAACAGTTGATACAAATCTCTTCTCCTGGGGAGTGTTGCAAGATGCATACATTAGAGATTGTGATTCATTCAGGCGCTAATTAGAGTTATAAAATACCTGAGATGGATTTTTATATCACTGTTATTACTACAAACATTATTTTGAGATATTGGATCCACTATATGACTGTGTTTCCAGTGTTTTTTCACTAATATGCTGCAAGCAACATTCCAACTAATCACCTTAATGGAAATTAGAGAGGAAAATGGTCTATTAGGCTATCTAATCTATCCTCACTCAGAAGTATTTTCTTACATTTTTCAGTCCAGTTTTAAATTTAAAAACAATCCATGGGAATTACTCTGCAGTCTTGGGAGGTGGTAACACCACCAGGGTAGCTCAGAGAAGAGAGAAAATATTTTTAAAAGGGTCACTAAAAAATGTTTTCTGATGGTCAACTCTGTGCTCTTTCTTTAGGTTTTATTTTATCCCATAGCTTTAAGTCACACATCCCTCTGACAACTTAAATATATATTCTCTCTTTTTCATCTGTACACCTGTCACCATGACCCTGCCATGTTTTTAAGGTCTTTTTTTTTTCCCCTACAGAAGGTTAATAAAAGAGTGCAGCTTCAGCTTGGGCCTCATTCCAGACAGGAACTTGACTACTTAATTATGTCCAAATTCTTGCTCTTTTTTTCCCCCCATTTGGCACACTGATGGCAAGAAGTGTAACCTTTCTTGCAGTTTTTTTCTCTCTGAAGTGATAGGAGAAGTTGGAATATTTCTTTGATTTGGCCCCAATCTGCATTCACTGATGGTTTCTTTATGAAATATTTACATAGAACCGGTATCGCACATCGAATAAATGCATGGTATGGCAGCATAAGGGAGCTTTCTATGTCAGGATAGTGTATTTTATGGCACAGTCTCAATGTAATTTTACCCTCTGACGAAGGGTATGGTCCCCCTTATCCTCTCCTTGGTAGGACTCCTCCTGACTTAGGAATCTCCTATCTCCTCCATCCTGCGCTTGTCCCTCCAGCACCCTCCCCATCCGTGCAGCTGGCAAAGCAGGCACAGAAGACTCGAACTGGGGATAAACCCAGCCATTTTTCATTTTTGAGGGGTTGTTTTATTCCATCTGCTGCATCATGCAGTTGCTTAATGCCAAAGCCAGCACCGTTGGGAGAAGCAGCCACAGCATCACAATGTGCAGGTGGAGGAACTGCTGAACCCGGCTCTGCCACCAAAATGCCATCACCAGACTGCAGCACACCTTCCTGTTGTCATGTAAAGCCACTTATGTCACACGTCAGTGTGATACGGCCCAGCCTGTGGCTTCTGCTGGTGGCCAGGATGCTACACAGCCTTGGACACAAACCAAGCATGTCTCCTCCTGGCCTGCTTGCCCCCATAAACTGCTCTCTGATCAGATGACGTGCAATTCCCTCCCCTCTGTACCAAAGCGAGTACAGTCCTGTAATTGCCCGAGAAACATAAAACATACATGAGGCAAAGCATTCATTTACACCACTTTATTTCTATAACAATGAGCGAAACTGGAATGGACCATTGTTAAAGATCGCTATTTCCTGCGCTGTAATAAATGTCTCATCTTCCCTGATGCTTGTTTATTTTATAAATGTCTTTGCTTTGGCTTTCATATTTAGCTGCCAGCAGGACACCATTATCCCTTGACAGCATTCTGTTCCTTCTCCATTGTCATTACCGCCGAAGCGATGTTATATTGCTGTGCCTGGCCTAGACGGTGGGGCTTTCTTATCTTGCATTTCCCATTGCTTTTCTGACCCAGACTCCCAACAAGGCACAGAGCAGAGGTGGCAACGCTTAAAAGGCGATGTTTTCGTGAAGCATTAGCAATTTGGGCGTTTACTTTAGAAAAAAAAAAACACCACACCAACAATTGCTCTTTATTTTTATGATTTCAAGAACCATTGGGGAGGAATTTTAGTTGAAGTGCATGGGCTGCACCTGCAATGCAGTCCTGAGACCCCGTGGTGTCCCGGGCAGCAGTAGCACATGGGGACTGTGGGAGGTGATGGAAAGGCTGGAGGCAGCAGCACTGCCTTGCTTGTGGGGATGGCATCACAGAATCACAGAATTGTTGGAGTTGGAAGGGACCTTCTAGAGATCATCCAGTCCAACTCCCCTGCCAAAGCAGGGTTGCCCAGAGCACATCACTCAGGACTGCATCCAGGTGAAGATCTCCAGAGAAGGGGACTCCACACCCTCCCTGGACAGCCTCTTCCAGGGCTCTGCCACCCTCACCATAAAGAAGTTCTTCCTCAGATTGGAGTGGAACTTCCCATGTTCCAGTTTGTGCCCGTTGCCCCTTGTCCTGTCACTGGGAACCACTGAAAAGAGTCCAGATCCATCCTCCCTCAAACTGTCCTTTAGATACTTATAAGCATTAATAAGGTCTCACCTCAGCCTTCTCCTCTCCAGGCTAGAGTCTCAGCTCTCTCAGCCTTTTAGGTATGACAGAGTCCCCAGGACCTGCAGTAGACCGGGAAGAAGTGAAAACATGCAGGGACTCTGGGCCAGAAGTGCTGTTTCCATTGTTTTTTCTCGAGTGCAGGGGTGTGTATGTCAAGGGCAGGGGTAGGATCCTGTCCCAGTGCCTGCACACCTTCCGAGGGGATGCGCAGCGCTGACCTTGCCAGATCCACACCTCTGAAGAGACCTGAGTGCCTGCGAAGCTCCTTGAAGGCAATGAGAGCATTTCCATTGATTTCAAGGACTTTGGATTAGACTCTTAACCATCCACAAATGAAAGATACTGTATTAGAGCCAACAGTTATTTCTTAGGGCCACATTTCCCCGCCGCCCGCCTGTTTTGTCAGTCTCAGAGCATCAGGAGCAAAACAGCAAAACCAACAGCAGACGATCTGTCAAAGTCCTATTATGTACCACAGTGCTTCTCCTTTCAAGTGCTGAAATCTAATAATCCACCTAACTCTCCTGCCCTTCAGCCGTGCACACTGCATTCCCTTTAACGTGGCTGTGTCTCTCTTCTCCTTTTTTTTTTTTTTTCAAACAAAATTCCCACGCGGAGGTATCAAGGTTTTCCTGCAGCTCTATTTCATTTAAAAAATAATTGGATCATTATTTTCTTTAAGAACCAAACTTCAACAGTAAGTAATTTCTAGAGAAGTGTCAAGTGGCTCAGCATAAAAGTTAATCTTGATCTATTGGTTTGTTAGGTATGTTTACGTCCAACCAGTTAGCTCTCCTTAGACAAAAGTGATTTAAAGCCCTTTCTGGAGAGCATGAAAATGATTCCCCCAGCACTTACATCCTCAGGGCCATAATCCAACAAAAGCAGGCTTATCTTTAAGCATATGAGTAGTCCTGTCAAAGTCAATGGGGCTCCAGATGTGTTTAAAGATAAACACACACTTAAGTGCTTTGCTGTATTGGAACTCTTTGAATGTTTTATTTGCATTTTGTTTCAATAGTAGACTTTAAATTTTGTGTATAGTGGAAGAGAATATTCTTGCTGGATGTTATATTGAAATATTTTTTTAAAAGGGGGTGGAAAGGGAAATCCCAGCACCGAACAAGTATT